GAGGTCAGGTGGAGGAGGTTCACATGGTTGACAAGTTAATTACTTTGCAAAATCATTAAGCTCTGGAGATGTGCCATTAGAAGTTCTGGCACGTGCAGCTGCTGAAGGGATAATTAAAATGTGCCTGGGAGGTTTTGTTCCAAGTTATTATTACAGCACATGGAAGTTACTTATTTCTTCATGCAAGTTTATTACGCCTCCCACCTGCAGAAGAATCTTTCCATCTGTCACTTTGTGTCTGTGCCAGCACAACCCAAGTGCAGAAGCTACAACCTCCTTTAAAGTCCTGCGCGTGCCCTTCTACTTTATCCCTATTGCTGGCTCTGCAGTCACACCTCCCCTCCACAGTTAAAGCCCCCTATATCACTCTAGGTGCCGGTGACCTTGATGAAACGTGAACAGAGTTAAGCTCACAGTCAGTTTAAACAAGCTAGGAGATGGCACTCCCTACTGACAACTGTGTTACTTTTCCATGGCATGTAATCATGTGCAGGCAGCGACTGGCAAAACAGGAGTCTTGAAAGCTTGTAAGCCACAGGGACACTAATGACACTTCATGCCTTCAGTCTTGTCCTCCTGCAACACACATTAAATGAAATCAAGCATTGTATTGCTATACGTCAGTACCTTTGGGTTCAGAGGGAAGGAAACTCAGTCTGAGCTTCCAAGCAGGGATCCTTGACACCAAAACAGCTCTACAGCAAGGTACTGATGCTATGACAATTCTAGAGATCCACTGTCAAATCTCATCAGCTTCATTGCAGCAGGCTGCCTTTGCAAAGCCTGATAAGACTTTGATGCTTAGCGGATCACAGAGCAACTTGTCTAGAAATGAGTAAGGAGGACATCCTGCTGACCTCAGTGCGCTCTGCTATCAGGTACCACCCAGAGATGGGTCTGGTGCTAGTCCTGCTGTGCCACAGCATTATACACAAGCTGGTAGGATGCTACTGGACTTAAGATGACGATCGAGGATTTGAGGTTTTTCAAAATTTTGAGAAGGGCAGAAAAAGCCAGCACCCCAGTGACACAACAGGCTGAAGAGGAGAAAAAATAATTTCCTTCAGTGCAATTAATACAGCTCTTATATGCAGAAGTGTTTAAACAGATATAGGATAAACTCCTGTACCTCCTTTTGGTCAGTTATTTCCTGCTACAAAGATACTAAAGATAAGACAGAGACTCTTCATGCTTCTTCCAGAAAACCCAGCTTAGACCCGTTCTCATAGACTATGCAGTTCTGGCTCCTTTTCTCCAGGGCCCCAATAATCACCATCAAGGCACTGGTCTCATCCCTTATTAACCTCTGTGCAGTGTACCCCATTGAGACTGGTACAATTGTGTTATTATCTGAGAAATTAGCAAGGAGGAGGAGAACCACCATCCGCAGAGGAGAACAGTCCAAGTCATTTCAAGCTGTGATGTCCACATCTTTCCCTTAAGGGATGTGTGGAGTGTCCCACGCCCACGCCCTGACCTGAATTTCTTTTCAAATTACCTCCAATTCCCTCTCAGGCATTTGCAAAGAGTTATTCTGATTCTAAGAAACTGATTCTCCTCCTCTACTTCTGGAGTTAAGAATGTTAGTCAACTTGATTAAAAAAAACAAAAACAAACAAAAAAACTTACCTTTTCCAAAGCAAAACATCAGTGACTTTTATTAAATTTAATGACAAATAAAGACAAGGGTACATCACTAATTACTGTCCTGTTCCCACATCCCCCAGTCTCAGGAGGTATATACAATTAGTTTAAAACCAGTTCATGTGTAAGTGAAGAGATAAGGACAATTGCAACTACTTTGGAAAGCTGTTGTTAAGTGATTCATGAGGAGCTGTTTACACATACCACGCTCTTTAGGAGGAGCAATAATGAATATACATACAAAGTCCAACAAGCTGCTGTCTTTTTCCTCTTCAGTTTGGAGAGTATTGCTTCAGTAGTTGCAACAACTTCTCATCCAAAGTCTGACGTACCATACTATTCTGGACAGAGAAGACTGAACACAAGACTGAGATAGTGTCTGGCTGGCAGCCTTATAGGTATGGTTTAAAAAAAAAAAGAATGCTCATCATATGTTTTTACATAGCACAGGCAGCAGAGCACAAGTCAGAAAAAAGCAAGGACACAGTACAAGGTCCGGTCAAGAACTGCAGAGTCCCTGATACATTTCCTCTTCAGCCTCTACCAAGCAACTGACAAGTCTCAGAAGCCTTGTTTAAGTGCTCCAGGGAAAGATTAAAGAGTGAGGGGGAAGAAATGCTAGATCACAAGGCTCGCTTTTGTTAAACCAGTTTTACCAAGGATTCATTTAGGCACAAATACTTCTGAACAGACACTTCCCTTTAAGCAATAGGTTGAAACTGTTGATTACATATTGTAGTATTAAGACAGATACATATACAGAATTCAACACTAAAATGACAAGAGTCCACCCTGCAAATCCAAATAGCCGAGAGGCTAGAAAGCTGACACACAAGCTCCATATCCACAACTCTCTTTACAGAATCAAAGCTGCATATCTGGAAAGGTTTGTCCAGAGGCCTCTTGAAAACAGCACAAGGGTTGCAGAATAAGAGGAGATCTGCTACCATAAGTGAGAAACTGTTCAAGTTGAGGACAGAGTCAGCAGTGGAATTTCACTGATCTTAAACCATCAGTGAGTGAACATCTACAAAGAGATAAATGCAGAGGGCTCTTCCAAATGAAGACAGTGGCTTGTTAAGCAGGGTCTGTTACTGCATGCTTAGTTCACTTCATGGCATTAGGTTTCTAGGTGTCTGACATCTGTTCCATCTGCAAGTTTCCCTCGCATATAAGTTTTAACTGAATTGCCGATTCAAAGCTTAGAGCAGATAACATCTTTCTAGCAAGATGCTGGTACTGACTTGACCAAGCTTCAAAATCCTCCAGTCTGTCACATGAAATTTTTCAGCACAGCTTGCTAAATATCATGTTATAATCAAACATCCAGATAAACAGCATGGACAGTCCAGCATCTGACAGCACCTGTTCCTGGTGGCAGCAGGTACGTTCCCAGCTTGTGGACACAAGCTTTAGAGCAGGCAGAGCACAGCCTTACAAGCATTCTATGTCTGAGTCCCAGTTCTAGTGGTACAGGGACCATTTGCTCATATGATAATAATTATCATTTACCCTGTAATCGGGTAAAGTTTAGGCTACAAATAGTTTCCCCATTTTAAATCAGGACACCAATTTCAGCTATAAGCAACAACTGCTCCTACCTGAAGTTTCATGCTTTCTTCATCTGTTGCAGATTTATCGTGACTTTTCACACTTGTTTTCAAAGGAACGTAGTCACTTAGGGAGTCCTTTACAAGGCCATCTTTTCTCCACCTGCACAAGGAAATAACGTATATAGTGCTATTTACATGCAACTGTTTGCCACCAAAACAAGATCTGTAATAACTTCAAAAAGGAATGCCCAGTAATCCAGAGCTCTCACTACTGAATCAGAGCTTATGCACTCCAAGTAACAAGATGCATATTCATAATCTGCAGAGCTTTTACACACAGTGTTCTCCAACCACATACTGTGCCTTATCCAAGCCAACAAAAAAATGACAGCCAGCAAGCCTGAGTTACACAAAGTACTTTGTTTGTCATTTACAGCCTGTTCCTAGAGGTCACTTCCAGGCTAAGCTGTGTATAACATATGTTTGTACCTGTCCTCAGTCAGAGATTTTGTGGAACAGCCTGCATTTTAGCCCTCTCTAATACCCCCTCATCCCCAGCCACAACACAGAACCTCCAGCAACTAAAGTGGTGGACAAATACGTGCGATTATACAGAAATCTCAAGCTCCTGCAGAAAATATTTTATCCCAGTGGAAGAATTCTGCACCTGGAGATGTTTGGCTAGAGATCTCATTCCACTCTAGATTCCTAGGCAACCATTAAGCCTTGGAGAAGCTTTGCTACACACTTACCAGGAAGAAATACTCTGATACCTGGTTTTCTAGAATGAGAGGAAATGGAGTGTTTCCTTCTCCCATGCTGCCACCTGGTGGCATATCAGGCTCCAACTTTTAAAGCACAAAAAGACACACCAAAACATTTAAGTAAGTTTTTCAGACTCCCAAGTACATCAAACATACACCTTTGCTTTAGCTATTACACACACTGCTGCTAGGGCAGGCACCCAGCATGCTTTTTGTGACTTAGTTATTTGCTGATCCTAGTCTGATGCTGCATCCCTTCTCCTATTACCTGTGCAAAGCTCCCAGCTTATCTACGTTGTCTTGTCTCAATTGCAGATGAAGTCATAGAAATCAAGAGCTCCCACCCAGGCCCAACTGCCTGACAGTATCTCTTAAACGTTTTTTTAATGGTCAGCAGGACTAACTTCGTTTCTCAAGTCAACAGGAAATACAAGCAGAACCATTCTTTTTGGTGTTAGTCCCAGAGAACTAATCATAGGTTACTTCTCCCCACAAGTCTTCTCTCTCCAGTCTCAGGAGCAATGAAGGAGTAACGTTTCCAGGCTGTTTTAAAGATGGCATCTAATGGTTCTCCAAAGATATGCCCAATAAGTTTAAATCGCCTGTCACATCACAACTTAATGAAAAGACATACTTCAACCCCGTTGACCAGGTAATTCACTGCGGACTGGTGATAAGCTCTGTCCCATGGATGGAGAAGGGATGAGGGAAAGATCATGGAAACCCTGTTCTGAAGAAGGCTGCTATATGCATAGCAGTCATACCTGTGAATACTTCAATAACACCCCCAAAACAACTCCAAGAGTAGCTTTTGTTCCAGAGCTCTGCTAACCTCTATAGAGAGAGGCAAATGTGAAAGGGACCCCTTGCCCTTCCGAGGAATGAAGGCCCAAGGACCCTGTCTTCCTGTCAGCTGTTTTCTCCTGACAGTCAGGACATGCTTCCGCTTATTAGCTGCCACTTCAGCAAGATCCACAGCAGCTACCCAGCTGCAGCCACACAAGCTCCAAGGCACTCACTTTCCTTTCCCCTCTGGATTTCCACAGGGCTTGCTAAGGCCATCATCTGCACTCCCAGGACTTACATGAGTCAAGAAGCCAGGATGCACCTCCTTATCCATCTGTATGGGATAAAAGTTAGCCATCACTTCAAATAGGAACAAGCTTCCCTCTAGTGAGGGAAGAGGGCAGAGCTAGCAAACAGGTAAAAGAATGCAAGAGTTAGGCTAGAAGCATGCAGGGTATATGCAATGTCTGAAGGACAGCATAAAATAAGCTGGAGCAGCTGACGAACAATTGGTGCAAGAGGTTGCTTGCAGCATCCTGAAATGAGTTAAGTGGGACTTCAGTCAGGAGGCAAAAAGCAGTGATGAAGATTGCAAAAAGGCATCATTAGTGAAGAGGGTAATGAATGGGCAGGGACTGCTCATATAGGAATATTTTTACTGGAATCAGGAAGTATTCTGTGTACCTGTGAAATAAGGGCATGCAAGAATAAAGATCTGGCAAGTATTGCAAAAGAGAGGCATAACGTATCTCTGCTCAAGAGGAATTCTAAGACATTTGCAACAGTCCGATATTGTAAAGCCATGCCCAAGCTGCATAAGAGTCTGGGCAGCACCTGTTACTGAAAGACTTCAGGGCAAGTTAAACTGTGAGTGCCTCAAGCAGCGGAGAGGGCATGGCTGAGACACTGTTTTTTGCACCTCCAGCTGATTTCAGGACTTGAACCCTGTATAAGAGAGCAGCAAGTAAGCTGGTGGGGGCAAGGGAGAGAAGGAGGCACAGGAAATCCCTCCCTTATATTATTTGTCTCCAACTTCTGACCATCTAGTAATCACTAGGCTGGAGGACAGATGTTTCCTTGTAAGAAGATCATGGGAGCCACTGCTGCCTAAACATTAAAATAAATCCCTCCTCCAAATGACAGCACTGAATAACAGCAATATGTAGCTCTTCTCCCATCTGAAGATCTTCATCTGCTTTTGTAACTATTTAATTAAAAAGTTCATCTCAGTGAAGAAGTAATGCTGAGTAACTCAGGATCTGGTGTATGTTATCATCATCATCTTAAAAAAAAAAAAACCCACACACACAAAAACTGTAAGGCTGTAACCAGACAGCCCATAGTCCAGCAGCCTGCCAGCACACTTGCAACACCTATAAAAGGTTTACATATGTTTAGCACCTTTCAGCTGAGGTTTACAAACTCTAATTGACCCAAGGTGAGAATTAACAGATCTTGATTATGCAAAGATGAACAGCAATGAAATTTCAGACCTGAACACCACCATGTTCTGAGCAAGATCTACGCCAGCCAAAAAGCCAGGCATCCTGTCAGAAATGTTACTGCCAGGTAATGAATTTCACAATTTGCGTTTAAGGAAGAAAACAACCTACATGTCAGCCAGCAAGGCGCAGAGTAACATCTGCTACATATGAGCTGAAAGTAGTACTGTGACTTGCAAAGCTGTAAGATTTGAAGTCTGTTCAAAGCCACACATATCACTAGTGCAGGTGCAAAATCAGGATGCTACCATTGCCAAAGTAGGTCTTTAATAGTGAGGTTAAGTTATAAGATAAAAAACAGCCAGTACTTACCCCATGGCTGGCATGTAGCCACAGAGAGGGCTGAAGTGTTCTTGGTGCTGCTTTTTGAACTCTTTCCATTTGGGGTTTTGAGTTTATTTCACAGTTTGCTAAATAAAGTTTTTTACTCAACAATGGAAGTAACTCTTCATACACACGCATTACAGAGGACCAACCAGTGGTTAACAGTTAGCACGTTCTACAGTGAGCCAAAAGGTGGAAGACATCCAACCCTATGAAATATAAACCAGCTACCAAAGAAGTAATTTTGAGAAATAAGGTCAGGTAAAAAATTGTGTTTGTTTAGTGAATATCCTTACTGTTCATTGTGACCTATCCAGTAAGTCATATCAGACCCACCACAAAAGTGGCCAACATTATACAAAACTAGTAATGCATTTGTCAGATACTACTGACATTCAGAAGGGTATGTTAGAGCTGCCTTACTGACTAGTCACGCATTTAGCTACTGAAAGTAGTTGACTAACTCTAAAAATGCAGTGTAGTCAGGGCTAGTCAAGTTCTTTCTACCTGGCTTGCAGCATACACACAACAATCAATGAGCCTGTATCTCTTCTGGTTTTAGTCACTTGCAGAGCTTTGACATTTAAACTGTAAACACTGTAGGCATTCTTTTTTTTAAATGGAAAAATAGCTTGGAGTAAAAGAAATTGTGGACAGTTCGCACTTCCATGATTACTGCAAGGCAAAGGTTTGCATAAACTTAACTTTTATTGGGACTTTAAAAAAAAGACTAAAAAAACAAGAACACACTTTCATTCTTAGAATTTGAATTTCTTCATTGGACAGATCTGCACATACTGAGCAGAAATTAAGGAATTTTAAGGCATTTTCTAAAACCTTTAACTTTCTATTGCTTGCAGATTGATTTACAATGTTGCTATACTTTTGTATAGCCACCTATAAGCATTCTTATAAATTGTAATGTTGAGTGCACTTCTGAAATGTCACTATTTTACAAAGAGATATAGAACTAATTCTGCTGAAAGAACTAGCAAAGATAAGAAAAAAAAGAAAAAAAGAAGTTGTCTATCATATATTTTCCCTCAGCAAAGAGACTACCATTTCCCATTTTCTTCCATTCCTCGTAGTTATATGGGAAAATGCTGTGCAAGTTTGCTGGTCGAAGAGCAGTGGCCTCTATATCCATGGCCTGGGTGAATGTGAATTCAGATTGTTTCAATGCAATAAAGACATAGACAAACCATCTCCATTACTGCAAGATGTTCTCCTCCCTCTCTTATGATCCTCTGCTCTTCCTTAGAGCCATTCAAAGTGAAACTACAAAGACATTTCCCATGTCAGCCTCTCTGTAATTCCATGAATAGCTCCTTTTGCACTCCATGTAACACAATCTTCTCATCCTGTCACTCTGGTGCTTTCATAATGCTCACACCATCAGCCTCAGGACTTGCTCAGGCCTCCCACTGTATCCATCATCATCTGTCTTCTCCATGCCCCTCTGCATCTCTTTCACACCTCTTTTTATACACAATTCTTCACCTCAGGCTGAGCTGATAAATAAAGCATTATCATCTTCACCAAAACCTTCCTCAGAAATCTACTTCCATCATGATGTTCTATAAGAATAATACTTTTCCCTAATAGAGTGCCAATAACCAAGAAGCTCAGGGTTTTCACTTGTTCAGCTAACGGGAAGGATTCTTTACAAGGAGAGTGTGATTTCACTGTTAAGAACTTTATTTCTAGACATAATGTTCCTGTGGAACCTTTACATTTTTTTGTTGTAACACATGATCACAGATTTGAGCAGAGGTGACTAGCAAAAGGCAGTGAGTATGTACATTTCATTTATGAAGGGTGATTAAAAACCTCTTTCTTTCAGTACCAGATGCATTTTCCATCAATCTTCACTTTTTAAAATAAAAGTAAAAGAAGCACAAAATTCATTTGGAAAATGTGTTATGTAGATGTTATGTGGTATCTTTGAAATGAAAAAAATATCTTTTCCCACTGAGACATTTTGGAATAATTACCTGCATACCAAGTAATTACTGTCCAAGCTGGTAAGAAACAAAGAAAGAAACTCCAGCTCTGTTAATCCAGAAATGCCTGAAGCACCACACAGGCCACTATTCCATAAAGTGAGGATGTAAAAGGAAGAAGCTTTAAAACCTCTGATGACATTGACCAGTGCTGTGTCCTTGATCGCTCAGCTTTGATGCTTCAGAAGATACCATTAGAGCTGGCTATTTCCTTAGCTCCTTTGTAGGTCCTCCTTTTTATTTTCAAGCCAATAAGCTGTCCTTTTCCCCACAAACGTTTGGGAAGTTTTCTCTGCCATCTCCATTGACTACAATAGTTCAGACAAAAATGGCTATTCAGGTATTGGGTTCTTCAGAATTGGCTCGTCTCCTGCATGGGAACAGTTGTCTGATCCCCGTTCTCCACGGTTAATATCAATGCCTGCCCCTGCTGTCCACTCTTTAGAACACGACAGAGGAAAAGAGAGTATGAAGAGTCAGCTTCCATTAGGCACTGCTAACAGCTTGAGCTCTCATTTGCTCCCCTTCCTTAAGGCCAAAAGTTATTGCTGGTCCTCTCTCAGATCAGAAGTGCAAACTATACAGTCCATTCAATGTTTTTCCTATGAAACATGACCCCACCTTTTGCACAAATCTCAGATCTTGCAAATAGCTATTGGAAACTTTTAGAGGATATACAATGTCATGGAATGGAGAGATAAACAAACACAGTTGTATAAGACAGACTCCTATTTTTCAGTAGGAGTCCATCTCCTAAATCCCCCTGGACATCTGTTCTTAGACAATGTCATGAGATAATGACAGCACTGGGACTAGATCCCAAATCCTCTAATGAGAGTCACATAAAATAAACTTATACTGCATTGTCTTGGGGATTCTGGAACTCACAGACATTCCCCTTATCCACAAGCTCTTCTGATACACACTGAGCCCACAAAACACATAGCACATGCAAACACTAAACAAAAACCTATTTCAGATTTCAACATACAAAAAAGAAGAGCTACTCACCTCTGATTCCTGCACCGCTGCAAAGAAAAGGTAATAGTCCCATCAAAATGCAATAAGATGAATTCTATACTACTGCTTT